TACTAATTGTATGCAATAATTATAGGCTAATTTTATATATATTGTTGTCTTTACAGTTCTTTTATCAATACATATATTTTATATTTTTACTATGTAAAAAACACTATCGGTGACAATGTCACCTAAACAATTTTATGAGTTTCCAATGAAAATGATTTAATCGAATTCGAGAAAAATCTTCGAATCGAGTTTTGAAATTTATAAAGAATATTTACTTGATTTTTCCATACACGCCATTAGTCTCAAATTTAAATAATACCCATTTGACAGCCCCCCACGGGGATGCCAGTTTTTTGGGTTTTTAGTCGTAGTTGTAGGAACTTTTATTTGAAAAAACTTGTCAAAAGTCGGAACTCATAATATGTATCCATATTAGACGAAGTAATGATTCGGGGTACAGTCTTTTTAATTGTCGGAAAACTGTATTTTTGTTAAATCTAAAAAAAAATGATCAAATTATGCCAATATTTTTACGGATACTATTTAGAGTGATTTCAGTAATTTTTTGTGCTCAAGTTCCAGTTTTAGGTTTTAATTACATTTTTCAAAAGTAATTTTATCACATTTAGCCAGCTCGGTCAACTCAAGTCCCAACCCCAATTGTAATGGCTTTTTCCTTTGTGAACATCCGTCGATAGCCATACTAAAGGTTAGGTTACTATTTGTTTTACAGACTATTAAAGACAGTAGTTTAAAAAATATCTATGCGCGCAAATCATATGTGAATCGTAAATCCGATTCGATAACATGCTTGATAAGACCTTCGAATTTTCAATGTAAAAGTTGCACTAAGATGTGCACAAAATAAAGAGAAATTTGAAATTCGAAAATTGAATATTTTATACATTGTTTTGTCATTACATCGACGTAATTTTCGGCTTAAAAAGTATCAATATATCTTGTCGATGGCAAAAAAAAATGTACTTAGACATTCTCATGTGTGAACAAGTGCCGAAATTGTATGCTTTTCGAAAATATTTTCAATTAATCATAACCTTAGCATTTTCAATATAAAGTCTTATAACAAAAATTGCACGTGGAAAACCCCGAAATTTAGAAAACTTCCCCTCCCCTCGGGAGAAAGGCTAAAAGTTTTGTCTAAAGATATGTCTAACAAACACCATATAACATGTGTAGAAAAAAAATATCGATCCCTAAGTCTAATCAGTGTATTTTAAATAAGGCGTTTAATTTTTAAGTTTTTTTTGTAGATCAAAGTTAGACAACGAATGATACGAATTTTGCTTGAATACAATTAATGTGAGTGCTATTTTCAGTATCATCATTCGGATGACTTAGGCCAGATTTTATTCGAGATAAATAATCAGCCGTGTTATTTTTAGATTTGACGTATTTAATTTCAAAATCAAAAGATGATAAAATATATGCTTACCTTTTTAAACGATTAGCCACGTTTATTGGAATGTTTTTTTATCGCCAAAAATATATATTAATGATTTGTGATCCGTTTCCAATAGAAATTTGCTACTATATAAGTAATCATAAAATTTTGTAATTCCGAAAATAACAGCTAACCCGTCTTTTTCGATGTGTGGAAATTTGCATTCTAAATCTGAGAGAACCCTTGATGCCAAAGCTATAGGTCTTTCAGTATAATCTGGATAAATCTGTGAAATAATTGTGTCTAAGGCATAACATGATGTATCTAAATTAGCAGTGGCAAGTTTTTTCTGAAATTCACCTGCTGAACTTTTTATACCAAATGGATTACGAGTGTAAGTGAATAAACCTTTGTGCGTGTTAATGTTAGTATATTTTTTATCTGTCTCTTTAATTACTATTTGTTGGTACGCATCTTTAAGATCAATTTTAGAAAAATACTTTGAACTGCTAATTTTTGCGTATAGATGTTATATTTTAGGTAATGTGTACTCCGTTTCCACCCAAACTGGTTTATATGCAATTTTAAAATCACCACAAATTCTTACTGTGCCGTCAGATTTTAAAATAGGAATAATGCAGCAAGTAGTTGATTTTTTAAAAACCATTTAATAAATAGTTGTACTCATCCCATTTTCAAACTAAAACAAAAACAGTTTTTTTATTGTCCATAAAAAAATATTTTGATAATTTAAAAATGTCTATCGAAAAATATTTAAGATGGCGGTGACTTTAAAATCGGCGGAAAATTAAAAAAAATTAGGGGCCTCATTTTAGGCCAATACGAATCAACAGTTCTACTGGTATCAGAATCCCACATGGGGGAGGCATATATATTTATATACAGGGCGATTCATTAATAATATGCACAAAATGTAGTCAAAGGAAACGAATATGGCCTAATAACGACTGAAAAGGCATAATACTTTTCCTGAGGGTCTAAAAAGATCATTGAAGGTAAATTTTTAAATCTCTATGGTAAATATACACTTGACTAACTTGTTAAACACAGAATATTTTGCTGAAATTTTAGAGCGATACCTAACAGTTGATATTTTGATTGTTTTTCGATACTAATTACTTATAGTAACAATAATTATTTTAAAAACAGTGAAATTTTTGTAAACAATCGAACAACTGGTGGCAAATTGTAAAATTTAGTATCAACATTTTTTTTTATGTAACAGTAAATCATATTAAAATCCTCTTTATTGTAATTTAATCGATAAAAAAAAAAAAAAGAAACGGAACAAGTACGAATTTCTAAATTGTTGCTTGTAAATTAAAATAACAAGCATCGGGTAACAAAAATAATTGCAAAGTATTAAAATTAAAGCTTTAAAAGTTAAAATTAACCATTTGGGAGCAGGTTTAATCTTAAAATTATAACTCAAGTCCCAACCCCAATTGTAATGGCTTTTTCCTTTGTGAACATCCGTCGATAGGTTTGGTTACTATTTGTTTTACAGACTATTAAAGACAGTAGTTTAAAAAATATCTATGCGCGCAAATCATATGTATATAGTATATCTGATTCGATAACACGCTAAGACCTTCGAATTTTCAACGTAAAAGTAGCACTAAGATATGCACAAAATAAAGAGAAATTTGAAATTCGAAAATTGAATATTTTATACATTGTTTTGTCGCTAGATCGACGTATTTTTTGGCTTAAAATGTATGAATATAGTTTATCGATGGCAAAAAAAATGTACCATTCCCGTGTGTGCACAAGTGCCGAAATTGTATGCTTTTCGAAAATATTTTCAATTTATTATAACCCTAGCATTTTCAACAAAAAAAGTTGAAACAATACCATGTAGCGCAAAAAACAAAGTAATTCGATTTTCATGGCTAAGTTTTTACTTAATATAATATGAGAAAAGGAAAAATATGGAACTGTTTTTATCGATGAAGTTTGATAAAGCCGTTATTATGATACAAGAAAAATAAATTTGTCGAGAATTGCTATTAATTTTGTAATTTTGAAGTATGTTTAAACATAGTACTAACGATAAACTTTGTCAAACCAAAAATATTTTAAACCCTTTCCTCTAGAAGGAATAGATTTGTTTTCTATACTTCACTTTTCTTAGAAAATTTTCAGAGATTGAGGTTTGAAAATTTTACCGAAGGTAAATCTAATACGTTGCTCTAGCATATAATTATAAATTATATAATTTCCTCAACTTGTAGTCAAACTTTATTTTTATTAAGAAAAACCCCCAAAAGAGAGAAAAATTACACTTTGACTAAAGTAAATTTCTAGGTTGCTACGTGTTATTGAATGATAAACAGTAAACAGGCAATACAAATATTTTCATTATATTTTTAATTACGATTTATGGACTATTATGGCAATTGACAATACATTTATATAGATAGACGATCAACCTTAATCGTGTCCACTGTGCTCCTTTTTTTAAGTTTGAAATGTTCATAAATAATTGTTCAGTCTTATACCATTAAACATTTCGAAACAGCGAAACGACCATAATCTACTATGTAAGTTTATACTCTAATTTCAATGGTCATCCGAACCAAATCTACCGAACATTTTGGTCTTTGCCGAAAGTGGCCAAGGGATCTGCTTCAGTATTTCCAAGTAAAGATTAGAAAGTTTTAGCTGTAGGATTTTCCCCTCAATAATTATTATCACCGTTTGGTTTTTTTTATCTTTGTCAAAACATATTGTGCTTATTTTATTTTGTTGCAGATTGTAAATATTTTAATAAAAGTTTTATTTAAGAAAAAAACATATAATAATAATAATTTGTATGTTATTGAAATGTTTTGTTTTAATTATTTTGCACTGTTGAAAGTTGATTTCAAAGCAAAAGTTATAAATTATTGTCGCTTTGGTTTTCTATCAGGTGTGGGTGAAATTGCGTTTAAAATAATATTAAATGTTCTTCGAAACCAAAATTATTTAAGCGTACCTAAATTTCATATAAAAGCACGTTAAAAAACAAATGTTGCCGTTAAACCGGATCGGTAAAGTTTTGGGTTAAAAGATAAAGGTAAACATTTTTTTTATATTTCAGTATTTTTTATCGGTAAAGGCATAAACAATTTTAAGGACAATGCCAGCTAGTCGTTTGGTTTGAATTTTGCTAAGTGCAATAATATGCAGTGTTAAGATTTGAAAAACATAAAATTTTAGTGTAATGACATCAGGAAGTGGGTTTAATTATTTTTGCAAGATTTAAAAAATACCCGTACGTACGTACTGTTGTACGTGTTAGCGAGTTAAAGAAAAGCATGTAAAAACATAGTGTGAGATGTGTGTATGCAAATCCTTAAGTATACCTGTTTTGAGAATACTGCTAACGTATGATATAAGTCTAGGATAGCCATCGATTTTCTAAATAAATACCAAAAATAAAACAAGTTCAAGCGAAATAATTATACAAGTAGAAAATGATTTAAAAGTAGTAATTAAAAGAAAGTAACAAAATAAAGTAACTTGGATCATAATTGGCTAAGTAAACGTACTATTTTGGCAGCAAAAAAACGGACAATGCGGAATTGGTGTAGTGCTTCATAAAACCTGGGGAATAAAGGTTACAAATTATATCATATACAGCGAAAGAATTATTATGATCCAACTGGAAGCAGAACCAAATGATCTATTTGTAATACAAGTATATATGCCTACGTCAAGAGCTGATGACGAAGAAATCGAGGAAGTGTATGCTGGGATAGAAGAACTACTAAAACTCACAAAAGGAAAAGATAACGTTGTTATAATGGGTGACTGGAATGCTGTTGTAGGTGAAGGAAAAGACGGTAGAGAAGTGGGAAAATATGGACTAGGTCAAAGAAACGCAAGAGGAGACCGATTAGTGGAATTTAGCAGAGAAAACAGTTTCGTGATTACGAATACATTATTTAAAGAACACAAGAGAAGACGATACACATGGAAAATGCCCGGCGATACAGGAAGATACCAGATTGACTATATACTAGTAAAGAATCTGTTTAAAAATCAAGTCAAATCTTGCAAAACTTATCCTGGAGCAGACTGTGATAGTGACCATCAACTAGTGGGTATGAAATTTTGTATAAAACTAAAAAAATCGTTAAAGTTGAAAGAAAGCAAACAAACTATAATCTCAAAGAGTTG